CCGTAGAGTGAATCCGATGGTGGGGATCGAGCGTTGGTATTTTCTTTAGGCTTGCGCACCAACATTCTTTTTGTTTTCTTCTTCTCTGAGCTCAGAGAACTCAGAGCCCTCTTTATTTTTTTCTCATCACCCTGTCTCGGAGTAGGGCACTCGGTGGGGCTCATCACCGGATGGAGGCCTCAGTGTGACATCCTTGGATAAACCTGCAAAAGGAAACGAAACAAGTAAAAACTTGGCAACACAAAAGAAACCCAAGTATTGCTCACTCGGGAAAGGGATCTCACCATGAGAATGGGTCTCCCATCGGCCCTTCGAAAGTTCGCGCTATGTCAGAATATAGTCTCTATAACATGATGCCCTCGACCCACTCCTTGAGTCGAGGGACTACATTTGGGACCCGAGCAACAGCTGCACCACTACCAAACACCGATAAGAAGGAAGGGAAAAGAAGAGTAAAATAAAATTTTGAGAATGAAATTTTACTTAGGTTTTATATTCAACTTCTTAGGGAATGGCATGCGCTCGGCTGGGATCAAGTCCGAGGTCCTCACTAGGACAAAACGTCCTAGCCAACCTCGATCCCGATCTTTATCGATACTCAAGTATGAGGCTTTCCTAGCCCGACACGCAAGCTTGATCAGTTCCCCCCTTCCCCCTAAAGAGTCGGGGACTGTATAGGCGCATGAGGTGGTCGACAGCGAACGAGCATCCATCGATCTTGATCATGAAGAACTGAAGAAGGATCAAAATCCTCCATAATGAAGGGTGAATTTGACCGAGGCATACCTCGTATCTTTTGCAGAAATCGATGATAACCAGATCCAATGGGCCTAGCATAAAGGGATAAGTGTAAACACTTAAGTATCCCTCGACGTGGGTGGTGATTTCTTCATCGGGTCCGGGAACCACCACGTGCTTATCAACCCAATTTCAATCCTTTTTTACCATGGGGAGGACTTCTTCAGTGATCGAGCATACGTATCTCGAGACCTTCTCACACTGGCCCGGCACGGAGGAGGGTATTCGACCTTGAAATCGGCAGTTACCAAGCATCCACCAGGGATAAACGTGTTCAAGGGGGGTTCTGCTACTGGTTCATCGGCAGCAGTACGCGAAACAGTCTCCTCGGCAGCCGGTCGCGATGTAGAAGAAGTCTCTTTTTGGGGAACAATTTTTGAAGTCTTCTTCATTTATTTTAAAATGGAGGAAAAAAGAGGAAAAAGAGGTAGTTAAAGGAGTACACTTGATGATTTGGGATGAAGACGAGCAAAAGTTCTCACAAAAGGTCTCAAAAAATCAGGATGTAAATGCCAGAAAGTATGGAGATTTCTAAGGAACAAGGGTAGAGGGTTTGGATATAAAGTTTGAATGAATAAAGAAGGGGATACTTACAGTTTTCAAACAATGGTTCACATCCAAGAGTGGCCGACCGGCAACTGACAAGAATTTAATGCAATTGAGACTTGACTAACGTTTCGTTTAGTTTATTTTGTCGTTTCTGTCGTGGGGTATCAAAGTGAGAATCAGAAGCTCATGTTGTTTCTCGTCGTCTACTCTTCGAAAAACGAGGGGACTATCTGTATACGGTCGAAATCGGGCTCATCTATGACATGGTAAATCGGGCTCGGAACATAAGGGACTAAAGATCGACCCCAAGACCCACAGGACCAGAGCCCGAAGTTAAAATGTTTGTCTTCGAGAACATTGAGTCCGTGATCTAGCAATCGACCCTGACCCTGAAGGTTCTCGAAGAAACATTGTTAGCGTAAGCAACAGAAAATCGAAATATCCATGACCGGTTGGATATTACGGAGAGAATCTCAGCACGTATCAATAAGGGACTAGCAATTAGTAAATCAAGAGATTTTTTACCTTTTATAGAATTGTACCTAAAGTTTGACTCTTCTACTATATAAAGGGGGTCTGATAATTTATTTAAACACACTGTAACACGCATTCAGAAGCAATACATTATTACTTTTCTCTTTAAGATTTTATTCAACTGTGTTTTGATACCGGTCAAAGTGTATCCTATTCAAAGGTGGCTAACCTCCCAAGGCTGTAGTTGTTCAATTCGTGTGATTTGAATTTACTTTATCATTGTGTATTTCAATTGCAATTTAATTTATCGCTTTGTGTCAATTTAATCCACGTATCTTAAAAATCATTTACAAATTCAATTGTTATCCGATTTTGAGGCTAAACAATTGTATTTGAAATTACTAGGAGAGTCAGACAGTTTTTGTCCAAACTTTGACGTCATTACTTAGTATATCATAATCTCTATTCTTCACTCAGGCTTTTCTCTACAACGACTTCGAACAAGATCTTCTTTAACATGAATGACTCTTTGAGATTACATCGAGTATTTTGCAAGCGATATGTAAATGTAAGCATCTAAGTTTCATCTGTAGGTTTCACAAGAGGTACTTTATTCGAATTACAATCACGAACAGGGGAGGACGCGCCTTATCCAACACCGCTTGGTTAAGAAATTTTATTGAATATACACATAAATAGTTTGCAAAATCAATCGGATATATCTAATTTTATGAGAGTGATTGGTACACTAACTCTTTACAGCAGACCAGTCAGTTGCAATACATGTATCATACAGATTGAAATATATAACCAAGTCGAACCTTAACTTGGTTATATATTTTGAAATTTTAGCCATATTTCTAAATAAAAAGGCAAAAATCGAGCTTTGGCCTTCCACATTATTGTAACCACTAAGCCAAAAGAGCTCTAAAGGTTGATCGAGAGGGCATCTAAAAAACAAATGGTCAAGAGTCTCAGTTGTTGCACTGCATTAGTCTGAATAAAGTGCAAACCATATTATCCCATCAACCCCATAGAGCCAAACTTTCTCTACTAAGTAGCATGCCATATGCAGCTAGATACGAAATAGGCCAAATACATATACATCCTATTCAATTTGCCACCATTTTTTATTTTGGCACTCTATCTCAACCTTGTTCCATTTTGACACTTCAACCCTATATCTTATGTGCCACTTTAACTCAAAAGCTGACTAATCAGATAGTGTGAGTTGCCTCACCTGCTAGGCGCGTGAGGCAGTATTTTTTTTGTTGTGGCAAAACTCCTTCTCCAACGGTAATAAAATTACTATTGGCCCCATATTTAATCCCCCAACTTCCTTCTCCATTTACTGTTGCCTCATCTTTATTCTCGAAGTTTCAAAGCTTTCATCTTATTTCATACTGGGCCATCCAGAAAGTTTCAAACTCTTGCAAATTTTGTTGTTCCTTTATTTAATTTAATTAATTTTTTTGTGGGATTATTTCATCTATGCTTGAAGTTTGAAGTTTGAAGTTTGAAGTTTGAAGTGAATCCATGTCTCGAAGAAAATTATGGACAAATCGATACTTACCAGTACAAGAACCACGTTAATAAATAGTAGCTACTTCTAAGGTCAACAACAATCAACATTACTCTTCAAATCAGTCTCGAATGTTGATGAATATGAATAAATAATTGATTAATACGAAGAAATAGTTGATGAAGATGTGAATCTCGTCTTCAGATGAAGAAACCACCAATAATCGATAGGTTATCATGTGCGATTAGGGATTTGGGAAGGAGCTTAGGGTACTATTACAATTAGAGATTTGTGACAGTGAGAAAATAAGATGCGGGGCCTTAATTTTACCCAAATATAGACGGTTTCAGGTATTTTAGTATTCACCCGTTTGACATGGATGAAAAAAACATGTGGCAACATTTAATTGGATATTTATTACACCTCAGATTTGTGTATAACACACGCTATATTTTTTACAATGAGTTCAACTTTTGTGTTAAAGTAACACATAAGAAATAGGGTTGAAGTGCCAAAATGGAACAAGATTGAGATAGAATAAATGGAAAATGGTGCAAAGTTGAATGAGTTGTCTATATATTCGGTCTACAGAATGTAAGCCTATTTTGGTGAGGAAACATTGTTGCAAACCAATCTCCTCCAATACACCTTTTGAAAACCTCCTCAAAACTCCATATATGCCTGTTCTATAAAGAACTGCTCAGTATTCAACACATCTAGCCAGCTTCCCCATAGTATTTTCTAGCCCTCAATATTTTCTAAACTAGCCATGAGGCATGTTTGGGTTGTGCTCCCCATATTGTATTTAAAGAAATTGTTAAGTTTCCTTAAATTTAGAGCAATTGGTTTCTGTTTCTTATATGATTTTCTTTATTTACTCTTCTAAGGTCATATATTATGGTAGGACGAAGACAAATCCAAAATTTAAACTACAGAGCTCAATGTTTCGAGTTCTTTATGGGCCCAAACTTACTATTTATAAATTTTTTCAAGATTATTCACACAATACACACAAATAGTACAAATAGAAAATGACACTTCAGATCCATCTATCCTTAGAGATTTCGGGTTCGAGCCATGAAATTGTAAACTCTTAGTAGGGATGCTTTACTCCTTTAGTGGGCATACCTAGTATAAATCCGAATTAATCAAGCCAATGAGTAATGGATACTTGATGGTTAAACCAAAATAGAAAATGATAGGCTCAATTGGATGCATGTTCAAAACTATATAAGTCTGATGGGTAATTAGGAAAGTCTAATGGCCTTTTCTTTCCTTTTACATACTGGGGTAATTATCACACAACGTCCCAATCAAGAAACCACATAGAGGGAAATGATTCCAGCAACCGTGGAAACTGCCTCTTGCGGAAATGCAGGGAAAATCTGTGTACAATAGACACTTGTAATCTGGCCCTTCCCCAAACCCCGCGCCGCATAGCAGAAGCTTAGTGCACCGGGTGGCCCTTTTACTCACTACACGTCATACAAGAGGGAGAGGACATCCATTGCAACCAATCCTGGATTAATGATCACATGGAAGCTAATAAGTCTCAAATACAATATACGTCAACACATGCACCATCTTCGATTTACAATGTTTCTCTCTCAAATCAAAAGCAAACTCCACAAAAGCACCACAAAACGTGAAACTATCACACAGTTCAAACAAAACAATTTGCCTCTAAAAGATTCCTCATACACAATAGTAGTTAAATCTCAATAAAATTTCAAAGAACATCCAAAAACTTAAGTTGTTGTTGACTTACAATACAAAAGGCAAACCGATAAAATTTATAGTCGATAGTCCAACCAAATTGAAGATTTACAGGTTCCATGGTGAATCATGGCACCTGCATTTCCCAATTCCAAGCCTGGTAGCATTCTAACTAACCTAAGAATAAGATATTAAATTACTTCATGTAAGGAAGAATTCATCTCACATAACCAAAACAACCTCAAAGGAGATCGGCCACATTGGCTGGCAACTCCTCGATTACAACATTGTAAAACTTCTGAATGTCAAAAAGCATCCTTTCGTCGTCCTTTGTGACAAAGTTGATAGCAACACCCTTCCTTCCAAAACGTCCACTACGACCAATACGATGCAGGTAGTTCTCTGGCTGAGTCGGAAGGTCATAGTTAATCACAAGGGAAACTTGCTGCACATCGATACCACGTGCCAGAAGATCAGTGGTGATGAGCACACGAGATGACCCGGATCGGAACTCTCGCATAATGATATCTCTAGTGTTCTGGTCCATGTCTCCGTGAGTTGCAGATACAGTGTGATCACGGCTGCGCATTTTATCAGTGAGCCAATCAACCTTACGCCTGGTATTAACAAAGATGACACTCTGGGTGATGGCTAAGGTCTCGTAAAGATCGCAAAGAGTTTCAAGCTTCCATTCTTCCTTATCAACATTGACATAAAATTGTTTGATACCTTCAAGAGTGAGCTCATCACGCTTCACAAGAATCCTCACAGGCTTGTTCATGAATTTCCTAGTAATTTCAAGGGCCTCTGGCGGCATGGTAGCAGAGAAAACACCCACTTGAATCTTTGGTGGCAGCAGTTGGAAAATATCATATATCTGGAAATAGTAATATCAAATAAGATACTGTTTGTCAGCCTTGGGAGCAATAAATCAGCTTATACGTTAGGCCCAGAGGAGATACTACAGGTAATAACGGGGAAAACCCAGGAGAAGTCCAGCAGCAATTCTAAAAGACGTTAAAGCATAATAGTGACAAGAATAGAACTCCCATAAAGAGGCTAATATCACGTATGCACAAATCTTCCTTACCTAGCACATGACCAAGAAAAGAAGCATACAAATACTTACTTTATCCCCCCCTCCCCCAAAC